GGGAAATTGGGGGAGGAGGTGATGATGGAGGAGGAGGAGAGACACGAACACGCTAAAAATACGCCCGATGAGGACGACGCCGTGGGAATTGACGACCGGCCGACGAGCGTCGTCGGCCGGGGCCTCGGGCGCACTGGGACGAGGCGCGCCGCTTCTCGGCGTCGCGGTGCCTAAGAGCGGAGTAAGGAACGACAACTCGGGGTGGGCTTCATTGACGGACGTGGGGCCGGACATCCCGCAGCCTCGCGCCGCTTTCTATTAATAATACGACGGAACGCGCGCCACTTTCGAATGGAAGAGATCCCAGCGACACCTGGCGGATAAGCGGCCGGACTTTAGATGCACATGGTGCACTTTACGGAAGTGCAACTGAGCGTATTGGAATACGCGTGACTGTCGATGCGTATGCGTAGAGTAACTTTAGCGCGAGTGCGAGAAATTTTATTGTGCAAGCTGAGCTTTAGGGGAGGGTTGCCTGTATAGAGGGGGCTTGCGGAGTTTTCCAAAGCTCGGTATTTACGAAAATACCCGGATTACAGAGCGTTGAGATTATCTAAATTCATGAGTTTTTTAGATGAGCGATTGTCCTAGTGCTAACGATCGGTCTTGTTATTGAATTTTGTGGAGAAGAGAGGAATCGGTTATTGTCATAATGCCGATTTGGAAAAAGGATCGCAATATGGTTTATATACTCCTTTGTAAATTAACGTGTGCGTATGATATCGAATTTTTGCTTGCCCTTAGCTTTTGAAATGATCAATGATTTATTAGGATTTGTTAAGCTTAACTGCGCTTTTGGGATGAATAATAATAACAATGTCGAATTAGAAGGGAATGAGAAATTTTATAAAGATAAGCGTGGAAATAAATACGAGATATTATTGTAATTGTTTCAAAATTTTGTCGATAAATAATTATTAAAGTATGCGATTGATAATTAGATAAATAAGCATTTATGGGTGTGGGCAATTGGCGAGGACTATTAAAATTGCAAGTGTTCAGTGTCATTGCTCACTATCACTCCATTATATCTTGTAATTGAATTACGATCGAGGAATTCGAACGTGTGCTCGCGATCTATAAATTTACAAAGACATCGATATTCCATAACATTACATCGCGTCTCGATGCTCAATAAAGTACGTGTCGAAATTATAATCAACTTGGAGCAGAGCTATGAATGTTCCGACCAATGACGAAATTGCGTGTTGTCAAATTGTGTTTAACTATAAATTTGCTAGATGACAATGTCCGATTTAAGCTCGAATATAGTATCTATATTACTTACCGGCCGCAGTTTGTTTCATTATTCATCTTTAAAATCATTAATATGGATAATTTACAGAATTTTTTTTTTTTATATGGATATTTTATATTTTATATAAAGGCGTTGAAAACCGCCAATAAACTTATAAGGTGCGAAACAGTTATAAAATACATTTTATAAATTATAATTTAAACAGAACATTTATTTAGGGATTAATTACTGGAAAATTACTTTAAAATTATTTATAAATAAGAGGTATCGATAATTCCTTAAGTTTTAACAATTCATTATCAACTAATTATTCCCTGCTCGGCATTGTTTCAACAATTACAAAAATTACTACTTAAGAGTAATAACAATTATATAAATATTACTATGACTACCCATTCTTAATAATATCGTAATTTCATATATTTAGAAAATGGAAATAACTTTAAGAATTCTGGGCTTTCTTAATTTTATAAAAAGATCAAAGAACAATTAGTATTCCTACAAATTAAAATCTTGTCAAATACGCAAAATCGGTTTAAATAGCCGACATATTAGTGTTACACTTGTGGCAATCCGTTATATTAATTAAGCATAATCTGCTATATGTGGACCATTATCCAAGCAAATCCACGATTACTTAATAAAATAGTGAATATATGAAATCGTATCAGTGCTCACAATTTTGCACTGAAGATAAATTGACTAATAATTATTCGAAATAAATTCGAAAAATCATAGAAAGCTAACTTTTTAAAACTATTGATAGACTAATGTTTATTTAAATGTTTTGTCAAAAACTCTGCCGTTAAAACTAATGAAACAGGGCTCATATTATTAAGCATTTCATACAATAATAAATTTTTAAATACCATACACAAATATTAGAGAATATATCGCTAAGTAGTCAAATTAAAATAATAAATTGTAATTAAACGATTTCCCATAATCTATCGTCTAAATACAAATATACAAACATAACACATGAATATATATATATATATATATATATATATATATATATATATACAAATTTATAAAACAAGAATATCTATACAAATGTATAACACATGAGTATATATGTTTCTGTAACTTGTCTTTTGTACGTAAAAAAAAAAAAATTGCTTATAATAAACACATGTACAGTTATCATGATGCTTATTCGTGAAAACGAATGACTTGTATTTATTAAAAGTTGAAGGTTTAAATAAAAAATTGACATTTACACTTACATTTACATTTGCTTTTGTCAAAGTTGTAAAATGTACTGCCGACATATGAATAATTAAACGTGAAAAAATTAGCGTTTTCATATGAAATATCATTATGCTTTATAGTGGCAATGGTTGCCACAACATGTTGATATCATAAAAAATGAATTATGTAAAAGAACAAAAAAAGCTAATCTTCATTCGAAATCTCTGTTTCCGATCAATGTAATATCCCATTATTACATTTTATTATCCCGTGGACAATCAGAATAAATGACTATTGCAATGAATTCTTATATCAGCAATGATTCTCACGTCGATAACGCCAATTCTCAAACTTTAGAGAATGAAACTCCTACTTCAGAATCATATTGTACATCAAGAATATTAAAAGATGTATTATGTACATTAAATGTATAAGAAAACAGTTTTTCATTTTCTTTTTATAAAATTCATAAAATCACAAGATCAATGTAATAAATAAACAAGTTATGATTATATTATTCAATTAAGTTCCTTCGCTCAAAGCCATCAACATGAACCTTCACATTATATTAAGACTATTTTAAACAAACTTACAAATAATACATATTTTTATATTAAAATTAGCATCTGCGTAATTTAACCTTAAAGAAATTAACAAAATAAAATCAAATTAACTACCATTTGTTTTAAGTGTAGTTCATGATCTTATTTTCAATTAAACCATTCATTTGTTCAGGTAAAACAGTACTTTAAAAATTTATTACAAAAATACACTTTCTGTAAGTGAACATACACGATTGAATGATTCATTAAATTATTAATTGTATTCAATTTTAATACACAATTCATAATTCAAGTATATTAATACTAATTCCCAATGTATTGTCTTTGCCATAAATAAATAAAGAATCGTAAGTGAAATACATTCTTCTTACAATATACGAGTGTGAGCCAACAACCATTACTCAATCATATACCTTCTGTGCAATGAATTGCAAAACGACAAATAATGTCTCTTGAATTCAGTAGGCAGAATAAATGTTCACCGTTGTCATAAAACTTTTTCGCATATTTTTTTCCAATACTTAAATATTAAAAATACAACAAAACAGTATTATATTTTTTACAATGTGATTATATTCTTATATACTCTTATCGAATAAGAAACTACTATATAAGTATACAATATATCATTAGTCAATTGAATTGTAAGAGAAAATAATGAGGATATAGACAGTGTACAATGGCCGCAGATTAGAATAAAATTATCAAAATATAACGTAATGATACGTTATTATTTATGCATAGGGATGGATACAAAATTAATTAGACTAAAACTAAATAGAAAGGTAATCATAAATCAAAATAGTAAATACATCATTAAGAATAAATTTAATATAATTAAAATTTATAAAGATAATATACACAGAAATAAAAATTTATTAAAAAAATTAATCCTTTTTTTTTTTATTTTTGTTTGAAAGTGAAAACTTACAATTATCTTAATTGATAAATGTAACAAAAGAACACATGATAAAATATAATAATAGCAACGACGTAATTGGCCAATTAATAATAAAAAGTTATTTGTTAATTATTGTTATTTCAAAGTTGAGTGACGTTAAAATTAATTACAATTAAAATATTTGAAAAATAACAACTTTGAAAATGATCAAATAAAGAACGAATATGAAAGGCAACTAAGTTATGACTCAATATTGCAATAAAATTTCGTAAAATAACGGTTAAACTAAATTTAATGGTTAAAATTTATATAAAATTATATTTCACTGTATCCTGCAGTTATAGTACAATTTATAATTAAGTATTATTCTGTTACAATATTAAAAAATAAATATTATATATTCAAGTATTAAATGATTTTATTTTAAATATAATTTATAATTAATGCTTTACAGAGTCAATTACTAGTTGATGTTTATCTAAAAGTGAAATTACGTTTTATTAGTTCACTTTATAAATTAAGGATTCGGTTATTATGAACATCTATATTATAACTTCTCAGCCATGTACATTAGTAAAGATTATATATTTAATAAAAATTATACATAATCTGACTCCCTTAAAGTATAAAATGTATATGGTAATAAAATATCAAACTTAAAAAAAAAAAAAAGAGAATAATTTTACCCAAATTTAAAATAAAATTATTTTTTAATAGTTACGTAATCAATAGAAATAAGAATTAATAAAAATAAATTGTATCAATAGAAATATTTTTTAAAACCAAAAAGAAAAAAACAAAAAATATACATTAAATTAAACGTGTGAAAAAATATACTTTTTTTTTTTTTTTTTTTTTTTTTTTTTTTTTTTTTACTAGATCGAGATTTTATTTACAGATAAAGGTTGAACAATATATTTAATGAAATAAGTATGTTTTGTTACTATATATTGTCTAAATAGATTCGAGTAAAATAACTTAATGTATGACGGTCACCCATACAATGAACAATATAAAATAATCGTCATTCGATGATGCATCGTTTTCCAAATTATACAATGTTGCTGCTCAACTCATCTAGACTTTTTAAAATCGACTCATCTTTCTTTTACTCCTTCAATCACATTTTCAAATTAATTTATATTGATCTATTCTTACTAAAAATCTCTATCTAGCTTAGTTCTGCATTCGCGCATTCATTCTGTCACACATATTTATAATTTTTTCCCTTGAAAGTAATGTTTAATGTTTATGATTCCTCGTAAGAATCAGCACTTTTTTTTTTTATCGTTTCATTTAATTTTAAAATATTGTCGACGAGAATTCAAAATAAAATTCATTCACTTACTTTTTGTTTACTTTTATTAACATAAAAAATATGAATCATATTTCGTAACGTTTATAATAATAATAGTTTATAAATGATATAAAAATTTATTTTGTTTAAACAAGTCCAAATTCAATTTTTACACTATTCCTGAATTATATATGTGTGAGAACATATTATTTTTCTTTGCTATCAATGTACATTCTGCACTTCCGAGTCTTTTTCGCAGGAATGATTTAAAAGGTTTGAATAATTATCTAACCGGCAAAAAGAATAAAAAATTTCAATTTCATTTCTGTAAGTATAAAACTCGTATGGTTTTTTTCATTTTTTTGTTTTGTTTTGTTTTTTGTTTGTTTTTTGTTTTTTTTTTGTTTTTTGTAAATATCGCATTTCGGCACAAAATACAAATGTGAACTGAATCGATTACAGCTTTCTTGATTGAAAGACGGTTTATCCATAAATGATTTCTTCATAAATACGATATTCGCAATCTTATTATTTTACATGCTGTAAAGTAGCTTTAAAGGAGCCTTTTGCTTCTGTGAATTAATGTGCTGATGTCTCATTATGGATGTTTCGGCTTTTTAAATTCGTAATACTTTAAGCAGCAAATTCCCCCGCATATCCGTTCTTATTTAGCTAAAATCCATGATTATTGTTCGATTTTGTGAAAATTAACAAATAATTGTACATGAAAGTAAATGGTATTTTTTTTTTTTTTTTTTTTTTAGTAAAGCATTGATCAATTGTGTAAATAAATCTTACGTTACAACACTCTCGAAGTTTTATATATATATATATATATATATATATATATAAAAAAAAGGGAGAGAGAAAAAAAAAGAAGAAAAAAAACCAGATAGTAATATTATCAAATAGATTGTTAATAATTTCATTTGATATAGGCTCCGATGCTCTATACGTTTTCGTGTTTGCAATGGCTCCCGTTAGGCTTTTGAAAGAACAGCCTTATCGTCTCAATTTGGGTCAATAAAACTTTTCGTGTATAATGTTTTTCCATAAAAAAAGTAATGACTGAAAATCTTGGAAAGATGCGACATCTGACGTTGATCCGTTCAATTTTAACAACCGCGATTAATAGTTTTGGTTAATAATTTTATCAATATTAAATCTAATTGACCATTCATCTATTTTAAAAATATTAGAATTTATATTTAACGACAGAATGCACTTAGATAATTATGAAATTAAAGCGCTCCGCTCCACATTCCCAGGAAATGAATAACGTGAAATGAACATATTTCGAAAAGCAAAGAAAATATTTGAAAACGGGGCACAAGTGGCTCGTCTCCGAAACCTGGCGCTTCTCTACTTTGCGCTCACTATGCGTTCATTAAAAACTATTAATTTATACTAAAGACGAGCTTGTTGATCCGAGCGACGTACATAAGCCATCGAATACTCCTTCTTCTTCTTCATGAATTATTAAATTGCGGGAAAAATAATATACATGTCTAATGGTAAAAAGTTAACTTCTCGAAATCCAATAAATAAGCTTATGAAAGATTTAAAAGCAATAGTCTGCAAAAGAGTAGTGAAGTGGCAAATGTTTCGCCGAATCCGAGAGCCTCGACAGCCTATGGCGCGAAAGCGTCATCGCATGCTGACAATTTTCATCTGTCTTTCGGTGATGATTTTGTGTCATCGCATTCTCACTCCCTCCCCTCCACCCCGCCCTCTATGTGTGCGCGTACGTATAGTTGGGTTGGGTGTGGGTGGGTGTCTCGTGGACGGCACACCGCGAGAAAATGGGGAAAAAGTAAGAAGAAGGAGAAGATGAAGAAGAAGAAGAAGAAGAAGAAGAAGAAGAAGAAGAAGAAGAAGAAGAAGAAGAAGAAGAAGAAGAAGAAGAAGAAGAAGAAGAAGAAGAAGAAGAAGAAGAAGAAGAAGAAGAAGAAGAAGAAGAAGAAGAAGAAGAAGAAGAAGAAGAAGAAGAAGAAGAAGAAGAAGAAGAAGAAGAAGAAGAAGAAGAAGAAGAAGAAGAAGAAGAAGAAGAAGAAGATAAGAATGAAGAAGCGAGGGTACGGATAGAGGGCGGTGACGATGTGATGTTGCGTCGTCGGTCGGTTAGAAATGTTAGCGATTCGACAATTTATAGAGTAGTAATAATAGTAGACAGAGCGTCGCTGTAATGAGAGATTGGGCCTGCGGTGGCGATGCTAACGAATTCGAATACGGATTGAGCTCGGTCGGGGGCTGTGGTCTGATATCGACTCCTTGGCGGGGATCCGCCGAAGCGACCCGATTTAAAAGCGACGTCGTCCCTCGACGGCGAGCCGCTGGGGCTCCGATTGCCGGGTCAGTGCTCGGCCGCGAGTTTCTTCGGTTGACGCTCCTGGGCGCGCAGCAGACGCTGCAACAGGAGTCCGTGCAACTGCTCGACCTCCTTCTGGGCGGCCTGCACCACGAAGATCCTCACGTCGCCCTGGACGTCCATGGCGGTAAGCCGGAGGGACTTGGGGCCCGCGCGCTCCGCCGTCATACCCGGCCAGACCTTCGTGTTGAGTACGAGCCTCTGGGTGCCCGCGGCCCGACCGACAAGTCGCGACTCCTCGTCCTTGTCGTTAAGCCGTAGGGAGCCCCGGCCCCGCTCCTGCCAGCTACTCGTCGCCTGCGAACAGAAGCTCCCTGTAGAGGTTTGACATGGCCGACGAAGGCATTATATTTCATTCGTGGATAGCAATCGATTGGCGAATTTTACTCGAATCTTACTTATAATAAGGAAGAAAGGAAGGAAGAAAGGAAGAAAGGAAGAAAGGAAGGTGGCAGCTTGACGCGCCGTCGTATGATCAATTGCGTGACGTTGACGCCCAATTTTAATGTTTAATATTATGCTTTGCTCGCTTATAAATATTCTCGCGAATTAAGGCGACGAGGCAACGATCTGGAGGTACGACGTCGTTCTCTTTCGTCGCCTTTCGTACGATTAAATATTTATGCGATTACAAAATTATAGAAATTTTCAAATTGTACGACAATTAAATAATTTTGAAATCTATGGATCAATTTTAAATTTGGAATTGCAATCTGGACAGATAATTCGATGAAATTGATTTCATTTACTTTGAGAGGAAGATTGATGATTATTATAACTTTCTTCTCCCTAGACAAACACAAAATTTATGTAAAACTTTTAGACCATTCAATTCAAATATTACAAATAACTCCGGAGAGTTACTTAGACGCTTAACATGACAAATTGCGTGAAACGATATAAATTATCCTACCCACATTGGGCTGATTGGGAAGGGGGAAGGGGAGGAGGTTTGAGAAGCATGAGTTCACACTCTCTTAAGGTTGATGTCTTCCGCAACATATATATATATATATATATATATATATTGTAGTAATACATTCGGAGTTGGTGGTGAATAATCGTCAGTTGTTAGTTAGGGAATAGGCTTGTATCGCGCTTATAAATTGTAAGAAAAAGCAATTTTGAGAGAGTAACACACTGTGCAAAGTGTAAAAATCTGTAGGTTATGGGATTTGCATTGTTCCTATTAGAGGCTCGCGAGTTGAATAATAAATTCCAGAGATGGCTTTAGCAAATTTGAGAGTACCCGTCATTAACGGTAGCTACGAAGTTGGGCTTAAGGTTGGAGTTGAGCCGAGGCTATTCAATGACCTAAAGCTCCCTGTATTAGGCATGGCTAGTACTGCAGGAGGAGTTACGGAAGTTTACCATAATATGGTGGCCTGGGTCGCATCCAACGACACATCGAAACAGAAAGAGAAACATATAGAACAAAACACATAGAAAGAGAAAGGGAGAAATTTTATTGTTGCAGCGGTTACTGGTATGTGCCAAGCAAAATTGATAAGACTCAGGCCGGCCTATTGGCAATGCCAGGACCAGGCTCCCACATTACACGATGACGATTGGGTTTATACTAACACTAGGCATACGGCCAGACAAGCACAGACTGATAATTTGGACGCACGGTTCTTTTAAAATCCAGCCAACATCCAGAGAATGTTGCTGGTCATTGCATCGATCAAAGCAAATTTTATGGTCCATGAACCGTTGCGTAGGACAAGGTACCCTGTAGAGTCATGCTAGAAAAGTAGGTGACATCCACCTAGCAGAGCTAAATGACAATGTGCGGAAGGATTTCATGCATCTGATACCATTATCACATTTAATTTAGCTTATCTCTTAATTATTAAAAACTTACTTTGTCGAACGCAAAAAGTTTACAGTTGATTTGTAAAACGTTCGTTTCATCCTCCTCACCAGTCAACAATGTCACTTCACTGTATTTTCTCTTATTAGCACGATTTGCTTCTTCCATTTCTTGAGCGGCCTGCGACAGCGTCAGGCCTGGCTTACTCGTAGTTCGACAAACAACAGCCGCATTAGAGAACATCAATTCGGAAGGGCCATTCTCGCTAGTCGACTCTTCTTTCACATCTTCCTTCTCCGAGTTATCAGAACTATCCGCATCGTGGGCCACCGCTACACGTTCCTTCAAATTTTGACCAAACACAAAACTTGGTGCTGACACACTGGCAGTTACCGAACTATTTAAACTATTCTGATTCTCCTTGGTACTCTTACTCAGTGCCAAAAATTTGGGTGGTTCTTTTTCTTTCTCCTTCTCCTCCTTCTTACCCTCCTCATTCACCTCTGGTTTCTCCTTTTCACTCTCATTTGTGTCTTGGTCTTTGTTATTTTCAGTCGTAGAAGATGGCTCGCTCTCCTCTGTCCCATCGTTCGATTTTGTAAAAGGATTTTGAAATTTAGCGGGTTGAAGAACACTTTTGGTCGAAGGACCTGCACTGTTTGTCACTGCGTTCAATTGAGATGGCCTTAAGAGCGAAGCTTTTGGCTTACTGCTGTTACTCAATAATTTTGAAGAATTCATCCCAAAGCAACTTCCAAACCTTGAAGCAGCTAAAACCGAGCCTGCAAAAATTATTCAACAGAAAGGACATAAATATAAATTATTGCATTGGTAGTGCTAAAATAACAGTCTTTTAATTTAAATATCAAGCTTTATGATAAATAGAAAAATTTTATTTTATTGGCATCGTGCACCTGCGAATCATTCATAAAAATATGAGTTGTATTCATATTACATGACAATGATAAATGGCAGGCGTGCGTGTCGGCGCATACGGGCGAAAGCGCGTGCACGCACACGCACACGCACACGCACACGCACACGCACACGCACACGAAACACGCACACTGGCAGACAGAGGACTCTGTGTGTGCATTTATATATATAGGATTAACGTAAAAATTAATAAAAATATAATTTTCTTTTTTAGTAATGTACAATATTTTGACCCTCCTCTGATATAAATTTGACTTGCCAATCTACGCACACTCTTGAGAAATAATTTATAGCAACAGAAACGATTGAACAATAGAAATTGGTACGTTACTGTTGTATCATTAGATCTAAAAATTAATTTATTCTTTTTTAATTTGGGCTAAACGTGTCTTTCCCACAAAATGCCCACCGTCTAACAACATTATTGGCATTAATTTGACCAAGATATTTGCTAACAAACGCAAACAGCCTTAAAATCTTGATGAATGCGTAAAACACTAATCGCAGAAGCTTCGCAAGTACCTTTTAACTTTGTATCGTTGCTTTGACGCTCGGAAGATGATACATTGTTAGGCATACTGTTAGACGACGACGACGACGACGGAGGATCAGACTCCTTGTTCTTCTCCTTAGCCAACTTCTCTGTCTCATCTGCACAATGAACAATAACAATTAGCACACTCGTGCTAGTCTAGCATAGCTAATGAAGATAAAAGGATAGCAATTAACAATAATCCAAGCTAAATTAAGAAAAGCTTGCATTTCAGACAGGCAGTCAAGTAAGCAGACAGATAGGCAGGTAGGCTGGTAGGCAGGCAGGTAGGCAGACAGGTAGGCAGGCAGGTAGGCAGGCAGGTAGGCAGGCAGACAGGCATGCCAAAGGCGCTCACAACCGACAAGAAACTTAAAACTAGCGACTTCTCATATGGATTATCGTCTAACGTAACAAACCCTTACCATTGGCCGAATTGTCGCTCGACTCCTCGGGACTGTCAAACTTCATTGTGACCGGCGGCTCGGGTTCCCTCGTCGCCTCCTTATTCTCTGCACAAAACAAAAAGCAAAGGTCAATTATTAAGGCACGCGGCGCGCGCTCCCGTAGATCAATCGACCTCGTCGTCAGTCCGCGACGCGAAACGAGCGTGAGCGGCCCCCTGGCGTTCGGGGCCCGCGAGCCCCGCCGCCCCCACGGGCCCCGATCGCCGCAATCCGAGGCTGAGAGGTCGCGGGCCGAACGCCGGGTACGCGCACCGCGTGCCTTATTATTATTAAAAAGTGACGAGACAACGGCTCAAACGCACCCTTGGAGTCCGCCATGTTTGCGCCGACGGTGGCCCCTGCGCTGGACATGCGCCCGTGTACGAAGGAGGCGCACGACAGCTGCGGCCGGGGCGCCATTCGCGTCGGCCGTGGGCCGCCAATCCCCGTGAGAGCCCGAGAGCCAAGACGCGCCGAGGAAGCGAAGAGTTAGGCCACGCCTCGGCTGCGAGTCCGCTGACGTCAAGATCGTTGGGGGCCGCCATTGGTCGACGAGCCGTTCGAGTGCAGCGCCATAATACCGCGAATCTCGAACCCGACACACTTTCGCGGATAGCTCGTTCGACCATCTCGTGGATAGGAGAGGCCACGTTGGCTGCTGCACCAAGTACGTCGAACGGTACGGTGCACTTTGTTAAAATAGCGCGACTCTCTCGACCCTCGTGGGGGCTGGTAGCGAGGGGAAGGAGGATGAGAGATGTTCGCAGGAGTCGAGATCGGAGTTTGGGCGGCGTATGAAAATCTCGACTATCGCCGACCAATTCTCTCTCTCGAGGACTATTTATTTTAGATAATTTAAAAGAGGCAAAGGACTCTAGAGTTCTGTGCCGTGGCATTGTTTCGCCCGAATATGGGGTGTTGAGAGGACAAGGGTGAGACGATCCAGCTTTGTCTATTATTTAGGTATCACCGAACATTTTTATTGTTGTTTAGCCTTGGATGCGAGGTACGAAAAATTAATAACAAACGATAAATAATTCCCGTCGCCTTGGTGCACACATTAAGTGGAATTTAGGCTTCCGTCCAAATTTACGTAATTTTTATCTTTTTATTTTCACATTTGCTCTCTCTCTCTCTCTCTCTCTCTCTCTCTTTAACAATTTAAGCGCCAACGGGAACACATTAGCTTAATTATCATAGAAATTTTAATTTGCACAGCTATTTGGCTAACGTTCAATTTTTGCAAAAAAAAAAAAAATAAAATCACAATTTGCGAATAAAACATCTCTACATTTACAATGCTAACTTATTACTATGAGGAGAGAAGCTTTTATTTGAACTAGAATTTTCTTTGCATTTTTACGACAGCAGGGCCACTCTTAAATACTTTCGAATTTATAAATTTTTCGCTTTGAAAGATTTGGCACATTGAGCATATTGAATTATTGCGCAATTAAAATAAATGTCCGACTCGTACACAATGGTACCTCAATTTATCAATAACTCATCAAAATATTTCTCTTATTAGATAAAAAATTTAAATCAATATTAACGGGAAATATTCGTTGCACGACAATCATCATCGTCAATATTGTTTATTCGCTGGAAATATGGATATGGATGAAAAAAAAAAAAAAAATAATAATCGTATTATTAAAATGGAATCAAAATTAATTAATTGTCATTATAAGTAAAAAAGCGATATTTTTAAGAATAATTTGAAAATACTTCCAGCCACTCCAAGATAAATGCATTACTAGCATCGTATAATGAATTATTAAAATAATATGTGTAATATTGTTTAAGATAATTTATGACAATATTTTCTTTTTATGATAGACTTTTCAAGATAAGTTTGATAAAAAAATTATATTACGTACGATATTTTGCTTTTATATTTCCTAAAAAAAATAAAAAAAACACCATTTTTTTTTCTCGTTAATTCCAGAAATTTTTATTCTTAGAAAAAGAATAGTCACACTAGCGACTGTTGTCAAGCAATAATTTTGACATTTAATAAAAAACACATGCATAAATTAATGCGAAATTCAAATAATAGCAATTTTGTTATTTATCACTGAGAAATTTCTTCTATAATTAAATGTAAGATAATATACGTATGAATTATCTTACTTCTTTATTGTGCAATTGTATTTATTTATTCGTTAGCTTTAAAACATTTATTTCTCCTTTATTGTACATTAAATTTCAATAAAAATATTAATTATTTTCATATCTATTATAATCGTTATTATGTACATTTGTTCATATTTCATTTATATATATATATATATATATATATATATATATATATATATATATAAAGATGTGTGCGCGCGTGTGTGTATAGTATTGCTATTGGATTCGCATGCACTATTGAATTAAATAAAATAAAATGAGAAAATAGAAATTAAAGTCGTAATTATATAAGAGTTGTAAAAATTTTAATATTTTGTAGTTGATTTGATTTTAATTCTTCTATTTTTTTACTTTCTACTTTTTATCCCATATTTTTATTTTATTTTTATTAAGATAGATTAATATATATTTAACAGACATTACTTACTACGATAAATTGGTTTTGTGTAAAAAAAAAAAAATCAATCTCTTAGAAATTCAATTTTTATGTACATTTACGATTATACACTTCAGTGAGCATTTACGTAACTCTTAACTCTCTCTCTCTCTCTCTCTTTTCTTTTCTTATTGTCAAAATTAATCAAAATTAAACAACAAATTTTCTAAATATTTTTAAACTATACATATTGATATATGAATTTGCGTTGATGAATTATGGAAGACGACAGCTTCGTCTCAATTCATCAGCAAGAGGCTCACATATACACTTGTATCCAAATATGGATTTTACTCCATTGCCAAGTAAAGTCCTTGTTGATTCATTCATTTGTTCGTATTCGTTCATCATGCCCAATTAAATAATTCATCTTGGAAATAAAAAACGTTTCCAAACAATTCGAGTCCATAATAGCTTGAATTTCACAAAATTAGTTGTAATGTGTCACTCTTGACCTCGTATATGCAACTTTCTTCCGGTATTTTTTGCAACTGTCAAGTTTAGCTTGTGGTCGGCCAATCAGGATTCGTGATTTAATTTTGATTTTGAACAGACACACTGACAGATATTTTATGTCTTCGATGTAAAGTACAAATTTTTTTAATTGATATTCAATAATAACGAGGTAGACTGCGATAAAAATTCATTTCGTTTGTGCAGCAGCAACGATCATTTACATACATTTCCTTCAAACGCAAATCTATAATAAATTTTCGCTAGTTTATCAAAGATTTTAAAAAATGACATATCCATTTATTTATATTATTATTATATCTCGGAAATTTGTATTCTCGACACAGTCATCGTAACTATGTTGATTTGTTTCTGGAAGTGCTCAACAATATTTACAAACTACCGTCTCAAATATAATTCATCTATTAAACGCCGCTGAGCCTTACTTCGAATTTTTTTTTTTTTTTTTTTTTTTTTTTTTTTTTTTGTTTAAAACATTTCAATAACACAATTCACTTCCGCCTTGGCCGATAAAATTTTATGATTCGCGGAACATTCGTTTTGCCTACTGCTGATTCAATTCTATGCACTCATCGGCATCATTTGTCATGAGGTCAATGATTCGATTACTATCATCTCATTCCAGTCATTATCGTTGTTTTTTTTTTTTTTTTTTTTTTTTTTTTTTTTTTTTTTTTTTTTAAGCAAACCCATCGGATTCATTGGCTTTTCGTCTTTCGAAGGCACAAAGTAACAACATTGATCACGTGCTATTTGCATGTGCCATTAATCCGAGTAAATTTAATGTAACATTTGAAATATATGAAATTAAAAATGCGTACAAACTTGTGACAATAAAAAGTATAGGAAACCGGAATATGAATTAAAATAATAAATCAAACCGATCTAAATTGATAGTAATGATACCGAGAAGTGAAAATAAATATATAATTCGTTTAATCGATATTTCATTAGAGAATATTTTCAGGCTGATCGACGAAAGTTTGATACAATTTCTTATTATCGACCATTATAATCAATATATGCACAGTGTAATTTAATGTAATCGTAATGTATCGATAATTCCATTTGTAATAACTTCTATGAACTATATTCAAATATTTTTAAATAGTATCTATTAATATATAATGGATATTAAGTTTTTTAATCTAATGCACAAATTGTCTATGGCGCCACATAACTATAAGTCGATTGTTTTTTTTCTTTTCTTTATTTTTTTTTATTCAGAAAGTTTTATAAAGATTAAATTTAAAAATGATGATGTGTTAAGGTAATGAAAAATATGTTGATGAACAAAATATTATCATTAAATTTATTAATCATAGGATTTCTTCCATCTTAAACTTGTATATATTTACAAAATTTCTTCGTAGCAGAAAAATGGCATAGAACAAGCCAATGATATTAAAAACTTTTTTTCTTTCTTCAAACATAAACTTGGTACAATTTACGATTAACATAAACGTTAAATATAGATAAATGCAGATAAAATGTCTGTTACAAAAATAACCTATGATTTGAAGCAACATTATCGATAAGAACTAATGTAAACGTAAAATTGAAAATATTTACATTTTTACAATTTTTCACTTTATCCAATTACGAATTAAAAGTGAAGCTTTTAAAAAGTCCGATTTTTCAACAATAAGTTGCTTCGAATCTATTTATTAAAAATATTTTGCTAATTGATAAAAACAAAAATATAAAAAATTTTTATAATTTTGTCGTTATTTTTCAAATTGCATACGCAATTATGTAAATATTAATATATTATTATCTATAATATTTTTAAGTATGATTTATATACATGAAGAAATTTTATAATTAATTAATTGCACATAGTCAAAGATTTGAATAATATTACAATAATTAGAGATAAAAAAAATTATCATTTTTAAAATATGATCCCCACTATTAATACTTATTATTCATTTGATTAGTATAGAAGTGTCGTAAACATTATACTGTCAATAATCAAATTAGCATTTATCACTTTATTCTTTGCCTTTGTTTCTTATAATATTAAGAATATGCACAAAGAAAGACATTTTTAGATTTAGATTGTAATATTTTACGTAATTGCAACTAAAAATGAAGATAAATAATAATATTGTATAACATGTAATAAAAAATTTCTAAATTGAATTTAACAGTCGTAATAAATTACTGTGTGGTAAAATTTTATATACTTCATTTTATCATATTAAAAAAGTAAATTATAATACAATTAATACTGCTTTATTATCATATATATATATATATATATATATATATATATATATATTTATATATATTTAATAAATTAATATACAGATGACGCTGTAATATGACAATAATTAATTGGAATAAAAATAAACATTTAGCCTTATAATCATTTAACTACAATAAAAAACCATCTAGAGTACTAGATTGATAACAATGCCATTTAAAAATTTATAGCTATTAACTAAAATAAACTCTATAATAACGTATTTATTATTAATAAATGAATAACTTTAAATTAATCTTATTTACAATGTTTCGTTAAATTACATTTACTAATAAAATTATGAATAAAATTTTTTATATCTAGTAATATAATTAATAAAAACTCAGAATGATAAAGAACAATCAAAAAACAATTAATAGACTTAGTAAAAATTAAATATTTTAAAGATTATTTTTAAAAAAACTCTTTAGTCATAACTAAAGACTATTGTCTTCGATATTTGGAGTGTCAATTATTGTCTTATTACTCTGATCATTATCTTCGTTGCTACTTTCTTCCTCTCTCTGACTGATTTCATTCGAATTAAATTGATTTATAAGAGATAAATATCTACGCACAGTTCTCACACAAGGTAATGGTAATATGCCCAAACTTTGCAAATGCTTATATTCTTTTGGAGAACGAGTATGCATTAAAATGCATAACATCGTCCAATCTTCATTGTAGCGTCTACCTTTTTCACTTTTAACTTTAGCCGATGAAACGATTTGTTCGATTAAAGTCCGTTGTATGTCCGAAATTTTGTATTCGCTACATTTTTGTAGCACCGATTGTAGATCAATTTTACTTAATCCTGCTTTCATTTCATTAACCTGCTTTCGTAAGCATTCAATTTTATTTTTTGCGCGCTTTATTACACCTCGTTGAGCTTGGATTCTTTTTTTCCAGCTATGCAAGACATTTTTATTGGCTAACTTAGAGTAATTTGGTCTCTCTTTATCCGGGCTTCTCCTCGACATACGCCGCTTCTTCTGACTCACGGTTTTCCTAACATTTTCACATATTTTACATTTTCTGCGCGAACTTAATATATAACAATTGTTATGTCGTAATTTATTAAAACAATCTGTATATGCAATATTATCTTTAACCAGATCTACACCATTAATATCGGCTATTCCAGAGCAAAAAATCATACTAGAAAATTTATTCAACGTTATTTGTAATTCCTCAAAATTGTGAAACACGTTAGATAGATCTAATTGTTCCGAATCTAAATTTTTTCCTAATGCATTAAATGAAAAGTTCATGGTATTCTTTATAATAAGACTTCGTTTAATTGTACAATTACTATTGTAACTTTCATTGTCGTATGTATCTACACTAATTTCAGCAAAAACTATAGAAGCCTTATTTGATGGAACATGTACAATCCAATCATACGATAGATTAATTAAATTAATATTTTCACATAAAAGAGAAAATATCGTTTGCCTTTCGCAGATATCTTGATTATTTTCAGTTTTGGATGAAGCATCATCAGCACTTTTCTTATTGGAATTACATTTCTTTAATATAAAGAAATTACTTGATAGCTCTAAACTATCAGAATTAATACTTTTTTTTATAAAACAAGTGTCATCGATATTGTGAATTTCAATGATTTTTGAATTTCTTGAATCTACATCTTCTGCAATGGTTACAGGTAAGTCCTCGATATTAATAATATCGGTAGATGAGATTTGATTTGTTATATCATTAAAAACATTCTCAAATGTACTTTGCAATGACGGACTCTCACATTTTTTGGCATCGTTTACTTTTTCACAATTATTTCCATGTTCAAGGGAAGGAACTGCATCTTCGGTAAGTTTATAGCATTGAAGAGGCAACTAAGTAAAAAATATGTTTTTATTATGAAAGATATATGTATATATAGATGTGTGGGCGTGTGTGTGTGTGTGTGTGTGTGTGTGTGTTTTTTTGTAAATAAACAAATGTAATTCGATTACATGCATAAATATAATTTAATACATACAATAGCAATTACATTTCCGTCTGAATCCCTATGCTCTGTACTGCGTATAATATTTTGCGGTAAAAAATGTTTTTCGCAAACGCGATGTTTTGATCGCTGTAAATTACTTATGCCAATTGCATTTTCCCATTTTTTCTTACGTTCGTCATCTTTAGGTATAGAAAATAGCGACAACTTTAAATAACCTTTACGATTAGTTTTACAACCAGGAACGACACAATAAAATACCATTATGTATTTTTTTGGTTTTTCACAAAATTAGTATATCAATATAAATTAACGTTTATGCTATATCCATCTTTGGACATATATGTATATATATATATATATATATATATATATGCACTTATGTACATACGTATAACTCCATGTAAACATTATGTCGCAATGAAGTTTTACGTGATACATTTGGTATTTTGGCGCAAGCGTAATGCATTTGATGATTACGACGCCATTTGGATTTTTTTTCACATCCAATCGCAAGAATACTTAATAGGAATTATAAAGTGATCTAAAGTGATTTAAAAATGAATTCGAACTTTATACGTTATATATACTATAAACTCTCATAACATTTTTATTCCATTTCTTGAATAATTATGCCAATGAATACATGGAAATTTAAATTCTACAAAATAAATTATTGTTCCAAAGTAATGATAATAGAATTACACGTTTTTTGTAAATTTCATTAAACTTTATATTTGATTTGAAAGAGTAGAAATTAATTTAATAAAATTAATGTATGGATATTATGATTTTAACGAATTTTTTACAGTCATACATAATTAAGAAATACATATAACCAAGATGAATTTAATAAGTAGAGAATATATTGAAATAACTATATTTCTTATTGATATCTTAAATTGATATTTCTTATTATAACGAATGCACTAAATTATTAGTGTTAAATATTTTTTTCAATTATAACAAAATTATATTTATTAATGACTGCGCGCGCAATCGCGCCGAATCGTTTAGAGAGAGAGAGAGAGAGAGAGAGAGAGAGAGAGAGAGAAAGACAGTGGATAAAGAGAGGTTATCGCTATAACTACGTATTTCTAACCTTCATACAAAGTTGTATAAATTCAATTTGATTTTTCTCATGAAATATCATATTTAACTATGCCGCCAAATCGCGATTCCAGTGGTGAATCTGGTATTTTATTTTATATCTCATTAATTATTAAAATATAATACGTTCATTTACACATAATACACTATATTTGAATTTGTATTTTGAATTTGTATTACTTAATATTAGTGAATAATATTATTACCGATCCATTACTTATATTACCATATAATAATGTAAAATGCTATTGCTAATTCGTTACTATATAAATAATCGATGAAAATGATCGTGGCAAATTTAATAAACAAATTATTATTTAGGATCGGATTCTGAAAGTGGCTCGGCTTCCTCTGCTTCGAGTCGCAGTGGTAGTCCAGCATCTTCGCATGCCCCATATCAAACTCCAAGAGCAGCTACAACCGATCATTCCGAGGATGAAGGAGATCGTCGTTCAAAATCATCAAATTCGAGTAGATCTAGATCGAATAGCCGATCACCCAGCAGGCCTAAATCTAGCAGTCCTCGGTCACAAAAGTCCGCCAGATCGAGGAGCAAGTCACCAGTGAGCGTGAGATCGCATAAATCTACACGATCCCAAAGCAAATCTCCAACAAGGTCTGGCTCTCGGCACTCCAGTGTCAGATCCGTAGAGAGCAACAAATCTGGTTCTCAAAGGTCAAGAAGCGGATCGGCACATTCGGCACACTCTGGAAGTGCTACATCCGCAAAGTCAAATCACTCACGTTCACCTTCCCCCCAAGGAAGTCACAGATCGGCGAGCCCTAAATCGGCCATCAGTAGAAGGTTGGAAAACTTATTGTCCGTGCATCTGACTTTAACTCGATCCATGGCTATGCGTTAAAGCCGCCCTTACATTTGCTATGTACAAACAATATCAAATGACCTTCCAGATCCGTTTCGAATTCGCCAAAGAGTCGTAGGTCCGGAAGTCGAGCCTCGCAGATGAGTAATCGCTCGGGTAGCCAAACGTCGCATATAAGTAGACGCTCGGGTAGCCAAACGTCCCAGGCGAGCAGACGCTCCGGAAGTCAGACTTCAAGAGGGAGCAGGCGCTCGGGTAGTCAAACGTCGAGGACGAGCAGACGCTCGGGAAGTCAAACCTCAAGGACGAGCAGACGTTCGGGGGGCAGCCAGACATCGCGAACCAGCAGGAGGTCGTCTTCCGGAGGATCGCACAAGAGCAACAGGTCGAGAAGTGATTCAGCGGATAGTAGAAGGTCGGCTAGTGGCTCGAGGAAGAGCGCGAGCCCCAAGTCATCGCGGAGGTCGCAAAGTCCCAAAGCCGACAAAAGCGACAACGAATCGGAAAAATCTCTTAAGATAGCGAGTAAGGATCGCAAAGATTTGTTACATTCCTACGCAATTGGCGAGCGTAAAGAGCAATAATATTCTTTCGTCTTGTATTTGTTTAAACTTTGTTAGTTTAATACGAGCGTCATTCGCAAAGTGTTATTTTTTCATGTTTTAAAAACAATGAAATTGTAATCAATTTTCCATATGCAATTACTTTCAAATCTATTATAAAAATGTTATGCATGTGAACTCATGCGGTATTGAGGAAATTGAGGAAAAAATTAAAATAATCGTTTGCGATGGTTAAACAACAAAGACGTTTAATTGATTATTATTTCAAAGTCATTTGCTATGGCATTGACGATATTAGTAACGGGAGTCGCAAAATCGAACGCTTGTTTATAATTAATATTCCTATTAATGTCGCTTGAAAAGCCGAGGAGGCGGTGAAGAAGCGAAGCCACGACAGCGAGTCGGACTCGGACGGCGCTAAGATAGCGAAGAAGAAGCGCCAGCTGATCGACACGGACTCGGAGCCAGAAGACGAGACCCAGAAGGCGAACGAGGAAAAGGGTGAGCAGCCGACGGCGGACGCCCTCTTCGGGGACGCGAGCGACATCAGCAGCGACGACGAGAAGGCCGAGGAGGAGAAGGAGGAGAAGGAGGAGAGTGCCCCGGCCAAAGGGAAGAGCCGCAGCAAGAGTCGCAGCAGGAGCAGGAGCAGGAGCAAGAGTAGAAGCAGGAGCAAGAGTAGGAGCAAGAGCCGGAGCAGGAGCAGGGAACGTTCCGAGGAGAGAACCCAAATATCTGTGGTCGAGGATGTAAATGTCAAAAATGTCAAAAATGTCAAATTCTTCTTACGTCTCACTGCTTGTCGCTGCCTTAATGAAACCGTTTGACGAAGCGATAAATCATTAATAGCGCGCTTACTGCGGAGAGATTTGCGCCGTTGATAATTGAAAATGACGCGCACTTGTTAAGCTTTTCTTTTGCAATCATTCGCGACTAATTAATCATTAAAAAATAATTATCCTTTTCGTTCATTAATTTTATCGATTGTTTCGTGCTCTATAGGAGAAAGAGGAGATTTATCGTGGGACTGCAGTGAAAGAAAAGAAAAAACAAACAAAGATACGACGATTTATTTATTTAGTCCTTATTTTTCAATCGATTTAGGAAGACGATAAGGAAAAGGAGGAAGAGCCCGAGCCGCCTCCAGAAACAAGAATCGACGTTGAAATCCCGAAAATTACGACTGATCTCGGTCGCGAGATACACTTCGTTAAATTGCCCAACTTCTTATCAGTCGAGACTCGTCCATTTGACCATGAAACTTACGAAGATGAAATCGACGAGGAGGAGACTCTGGACGAGGAAGGTCGAGCCAGACTTAAACTCAAAGTCGAAAACACAATAAGGTAGGGGTTGATAGGTTGCTTGAGTATCGTTTTATCTTTATTCCGAATCCGAGCGCCTCGCTTGTTTGGGAGAAGTTTATGGGATCGTTTCATTGATTTAATGCTTTAATGACTGCCTAAAGACATCTTTGTCTTAAGTCGTAAGGGAAGAATGAAAGAATCGATAATTTATTTGCAATAAATATACAGAGCATTAACCTGGCAATATTTTAAAAGCTTTTTTTCTTTCTTTGTGCACAAAACGTATTTAATAAAGTTTATATAAAGACTAAAAGATACTAGAGTGCATGAATCTCAACATGTAACAACAACAACAACAACAGCAACAATAACAACAACAACAACAGCAATAATAATAATATTTACCACGAATATAGATATTTACCAAGAAACCAAAAGATAAGAACGATAAATAGTGGTTAAAGTAATGTATATTGGGAGGAGGAGGAGTAGGAGTAGGGGGAGGGGGAGGGGGGAGGGCAAATAAAAAACAAAAAACAAAAAACAAAAACAAAAGCAATCATGGCTTTAGATCAGTTGGTAATTAAATTGATATTGAATCCTATCGTGAAGTAGTTGGTTATGATATTTCACATGAAATATTGTTTTTGAATAAAAATATCATGGAGTAAAAGTATTTTGTCGTCAAAAACTTACGACCGACCTTGAAAGCGAATCGCCCTATTCATCAACTACATTGTCCAAACAGTTGAATTAACGATAGAAATGGATAATTGTGTCGTAAATTACTATAATAAATATTTGGCCGTTCGATGACTCGACGACCAACGAATCTGCGCTTACTCGCTGTCTCGTCAAATTCGAGGCTGCATAACTTAATTGTCCTTGCAAAACTCACAGGTGGAAGGAGGTGTTTACCGAGGATGGCAAGATGGAAAAGGAGAGCAACGCGAGATTCGTGAAATGGTCGGACGGCAGTATGTCCTTACATCTCGGCTCGGAGATATTCGACGTTTATAAGCAGCCGCTCCAAGGAGATCACAATCATTTGTACATTAGGCAGGGTACGGGTTTGCAAGGTCAAGCGGTTTTTAGAACAAAGCTGACGTTCCGCCCGCACTCGACGGAGTCCTTCACTCACAGGAAGATGACGATGTCCCTTGCGGATCGCTCTCAAAAGACCAGTGGCATCAAGGTGCTGTCGCACGTCGGCATGAATCCAGATCAAAATAAATACGAGATGATCAAGGTGAGTGAGTAGTAGACCGGGAGCTTTTGTGACTTTGTCCTGCGAGAGCAGAGACCCATTATGATTGCACCAAACGAGACTTTTACCGGACTCTTTC